TTCCCATAGGGAAAAAATGGTGATATGGTGGTATTCTTGTTCACTATTGTGAAAATCTGAGATGTAATCTCATGTGGTGTCTCATTCAATGAACAAACAACTGGAAAATCGTATAAATTCTTTGGAGATGTGGATATACAGAAGATTAGGTCGTATTTCATGGAAACAAAAGCTATCAAATACAGAGGTACTGTGGAAATTGGGAATGAAAAGAGAGTTGCTAGGTGAAATAAAAAAGAGACAAGTGAAATATTTTGGCCACATTAAAAGACATAACAGTATTGTAAAGATCATCCTAGAGGGAAAGGTTCAAGGTAGGCGAGCAAAAGGCAGACAGAGTTACAAGTGGGAGGATAACATCAAGAGATGGACGAACAGCAGTATGAGTGAGTGTACATCAAGGGCAAGAGACAGGGCTTGTTGGAGATCCATTGCAGCCAACCTTCATTGTGGAGACGGCACCTGATTGATTGATTGGTGTCTCATTCAGTTTTTTAAAAGCAACGAGCTGGTCATTACATTCCCAAGGCTGATTAACTAAGACTGTCAGGAGCATCTACATATTAGAACAGACTTAAGACAACTGAACGGAACATTTACACCCCCTTGCCTTAAGTAAAATCCCACGATAGAAAAAGAGAACATCTACAGCCTAGGACAGGCTAAAATAAACATAATTATAAGGAACACCTACATTTTAGGACAGGCTAACATAATTATAAAGAATATCTACATCCTAGGACAGGCTAACATAATTATAAGGATCATCTACATCTTAGGACAGACTTAACACAACTGAAAGGAACATTTACATCCCCTTGCCTTAAGTAAAATCCCACGATAAATAAAGAGAACATCTACAGCCTAGGACAGGCTAAAATAAACATAATTATAAGGAACACCTACATTTTAGGACAGGCTAACATAATTATAAAGAATATCTACATCCTAGGACAGGCTAACATAATTATAAGGATCATCTACATCTTAGGACAGGCTAAACATAATTATAAGGAATATCTACATCCTAGGACAGGCTAACATAATTATAAGGATCATCTACATCTTAGGACAGGCTAAACATAATTATAAGGAATATCTACATCCTAGGACAGGCTAACATAATTATAAGGATCATCTACATCTTAGGACAGGCTAAACATAATTATAAGGAATATCTACATCCTAGGACAGGCTAACATAATTATAAGGATCATCTACATCTTAGGACAGGCCAAACATAATTATAAGGAATATCTACATCCTAGGACAGGCTAACATAATTATAAGGATCATCTACATCTTAGGACAGGCTAAACATAATTATAAGGAATATCTACATCCTAGGACAGGCTAACATAATTATAAGGATCATCTACATCTTAGGACAGGCTAAACATAATTATAAGGAATATCTACATCCTAGGACAGGCTAAACATAATTATAAGGAATATCTACATCCTAGGACAGGCTAACATAATTATAAGGATCATCTACATCTTAGGACAGGCTAAACATAATTATAAGGAACATCTACATCCTAGGACAGGCTAACATAATTATAAGGATCATCTACATCTTAGGACAGGCTAAACATAATTATAAGGAACATCTACATCCTAGGACAGGCTAAACATAATTATAAGGAAACATCTACATCTTGGGACAGACTAAATATAATTAAAAGAAACATCTACATCCTAGGACAGACTAAACATAATTTTAAGGAACATCTACATCTTAAGACAAGCTAAACATAATTATGAAGAACATCTACATCGTAGCATAGATTAAACATAATTATGAAGAACATCTACATCTTAAGACAAGCTAAACATAATTATGAAGAACATCTACATCGCAGGATAGATTAAACATAATTATGAGGAACATCTACACCCCAGAACAAACTAAACATAACTTCTTCTTCTTCTTTCGTTCGTCTGAAATAAGTTATCTATATCAGCAGTTTTGTCTCTTGTATAAACTTCACTGTCGTTGTTAGTTCATTCAGTGGTCCATAGAGTTTACGTTCCACTGTTGTTCTTTCTGGCCAAAAGGTTTGCCTTAATGTGTCAAAATCGGTGCAGTCCTGGAGTACATGCTCTGCGGTCTGGGGCACATTTCCACAGGTGCACATGGCTGATACACCTATCTTGAATTTTGTGTACATGTGGTTACGTAATCGGTTGTGCCCTGTTCTGAGGCGGAAGATAATGACTTGTTCTGGTCTGTCCATAATAAAATAGTCGTCTTGTGCTGGGGCTGGTGGTTTCCTGATCGATTTAATGATTCTTTTCTTTTGGTGGTATGTGACTGGTACATCTGGCTGCTCTTTTTTCGCACCTTCCCCTGCCAGTTGATCAGCTTTCTCATTTCCAGGCACTCCACAATGAGACGGTATCCACTGCATTACGACTCTTCGCTGAGCGCTGAGTTGTGTCAGCAGTGTTTGCAATTTCTGGTAGTTTCCTAAACTGGAGTGCTTCAAGTACTGATTTAGCATCTGTGAGCATTACCACATACTGTAAGCCAAGGTTGGTATTTAGCAGTTTCTCTGTAGCTATCTTAATAGCCTGGGTTTCTGCATCATAGTTATGGCAGTACTTCCCGGTTGGTACGCTGGACTTATCCCTAGTACCATCTGGGAATTCGATGTACACTCCAGCACCACCATTTCTAACTGCACTTTCTGCGGACCCATCTGTATAGACTCTGACCCATTGTTCTTGTGGGTATTCTTCATCAATATAACTGAGGGTGGCCATTCTGCGTTGTACACTATCTTGCTCTTTCTTGTCAAATATCCCTTTCACATTTGTCTGGATTTGTACCGTTAGTTTACATTTTTCTCTCCATGGGGTTTGTTCCGGAATACTTTTAAGTGGGCAGCCAATTTCTGGAAGGTCAGGAGTTTGTCTACATATTCTTTTTGCTTGGTGTATAAAGCTGCTTCTTTTTAACCGTCCCAAGGCTAGGTTCTTAAATCTATTTTCCATCGGGTGATCTGGCATACTGAGGAACTTTTCAGCTTGTATTTGCAACTTTGTATCTCTGCGTTCTCTCAGTGCCTGTGTTTTCCCAGCTTTCTCCATTTCTAATATGGGAGTTGATTTCATCCCTCCTGTGATGACTCTGAGCGCTTGATTTTGCACTTTGTCTAACTCCTTTAATGTAGTACTAGATGCTGAACACCATGCAGTTGACCCATATTCCAAGTGTGGAAGTATGCTCTGCTTGTACACTTTATTGAGTATTTTCCCATCTGCTCCCCATGTGGTTCCACTTAGTTTTCTTAGAATTGCTGTCTTCCTCCTGGCTTTGGTTGCTGCCTTGTTGATATGTTTTCTCCATGTCGACCTGTCATCAAATGTGACTCCTAGGTATGTGGGCTCTTTATCATCTCTCAGGGGTATTTCGTTTATTTTGATGGTGCCAGCTTTTTGCTTTGGGGAGAGGGTGAATAGTGTGGTGCTACATTTGTCTGTGTTGATGCTGACACACCATCTATTGGCCCATGCCTCAAGTGCATTTGTAGCCCGCTGTAGTGTTTTTGTGGCTATCGTTGTATGTTCATTGGTGCACCACAGTACCAGGTCGTCGGCATACATTGCCATTTTGATTCCATTTGGTATCTCAGCAACCAGATCGTTGATAAATAAAAGGAAAAGTGTGGGCGACAGGACACCACCTTGAGGGACGCCTTGTCGCAGTAGAACTTTTTTACTTTTAAAACCATCAACCTGTACCCGGGCTCTTCTGTTATGTAGATATGATTAATCCAATTGTACATTTTCCCATTTATTTTATAGTTTCTCAATTTCTTCAAAAGCCCCTCCTTCCAAACCTTATCAAAAGCTTTCCTTAAATCTATCCATGCCGCGAGTACCAGTTTCTTATCTTGAAAAGCATCCTCTATTTCTTGGGAGAGGTATGTTGTCTGGTCTTCCGTAGAATAGAACTTTCTAAAGCCCGCCTGCTGTGGTGTAATGATGTTTTCACTTTCAATGTACCACTGTAGTCTGAGGTTGGTGATGCGCTCCATTGTTTTACAGAGACAACTTGTGAGGCTGATTGGTCTGTAGTTGGAGGCATTAGAACTGTCTTTCCCAGGCTTTATGAGGGGTATCATAATTGCCTCTCTCCAGATCTGTGGAACATTCCCTGTTGCCCAGCAAGCATTAAATATCTGTAAAAGCTTTGTTTTGGCTACTTGTCCTAAGTTTCTGATCATTTCGTTTGATATACCATCTGCTCCTGGTGACTTCCGCATTTTCAGCTTTGAAATGGCCAACTCCAGTTCATTAAGTGTAATTGGCACCTCTAGCGCCTCTGATGTTATTTCTTTCTGGCTTCTAAATTGTGTCTTTTCTTGAATTTCGTGTTTTTTCTCTGAACTGATTTCAATACTAAACATAACTATAAGAACCATCCACATGCAGAGCCGACTAAATACAACTGGAAGTGGTAGTTACATAACAGGACAGCTGGCAAATAGAATAAACAATACAATAAACTTTAGGCCCAACTATCAGACAAGGAACTTACTAAGCATGACTTTGAGGCAGAATTTTAACTCAGGGCAGATAAATTACAGGAAATGAGCAAATGTTTTAATAATTATGGCTGTCAGCATTGTTACCTATCAGAATTTTAAATGTTTATAAATAAATAAATATGTAGTTTCTTTTTTTTTAACGTTGGTTGCCCATATTTTATAGGACATTGCAGAACCAGCCTCAGGATATTTTGGGAGTTTGGTTTTATTATGCAATTTTATGTTCAGTATTTTGCCATTGTTTAAAACCTTGATACAACAAAATAAATACACATTGACATCACTACCTCCCACATACAAAGAAGCCAACAAAAAATGTTGCTAATGTTAATACCTAAACAAAAATGGACAAGCAAACGAATTCATGCAGCGTGCGAGCAAGGCTATGAAGGTGACAAAAATGACACCAGCTAAACACTGGATTCAAATGACACACTTGACCTGAGGCGAGAACGGCTAGCTGACGACAGGGGCTGGTTTGATCCATCAAGCTCAGGAGACTCTGCAATTGTCGGTGATGATGGAGTGTGCAGCTCTGCAGTTTTTGCTCGACGATGCTTCTTGGGGAACTTCCGAGGCGAGAACTGCAAGTCCAAGCCTTTCCGGGTATCTGAACTTGAAGATCTTGTCTGGAGTCTAGCTGGAGATGTAGGGGTGGAGTTTGAGACTGGCGGAGACAGGGGTCGCTGTGGAAGTGTTGTGTGGATTGGTGGAGGAGACAGAGATCTAAACGGTGCATTGGGTACAGATGAAGACAAAGGCTGTGGATTGACTGACGTTGGGGAAGATGGTAAACTTCTGAGCTTGGCAAAGAATTTCCGGGCCCCAGATTTTTTGGAGCTGTGACTTGGTGGAGACAGCGGCACTGATCCACACAGTGGAAGGTTGGTAGGTGTTGGAGGAGTTTCTGGAATATTTCTTGGCTGAGATACAGCTCTGACTGTAATTGGAGAAGAGACACCATTTACATTTGGTATTTTGAGCTTTAAGGAACCATCGTTAGATGGTCTTGCAAAAGCACCTACTTCAACAGCCACAATAGACGCATGATCAAGCTTGCCTGGTGCTTTGGACATTTTCTCAACAATTTCAGAGTCCCGGGTCTGCCGATCCTTTTTAGTCATTTTTCTTTTTGCATAAATAGCTGGATTCTCAACAATTTTCCGTTTCTGATCTGTAATTGTCAATACATGCTGCAGAAGGGCGCTACAAAATGACTGTGCTGAACAGACTTCCTCTGTAACAAGTTCGTATTCATGCACAACCCTCTCCATCTCTTTTAAAGCATAGACATGTCTTTCTTTGGGATTAAGCTCTGGCTTAATAGCCAGGCATCCATTAGAGTTATACTTTTCTCTGGTATTAAAATTAGAGTCATTCGGCCGCATCGGCAGGGCGATTTTTGTCACAACCGGGTCGAAATTATCAGAGATGCCGTCTGTTGTCAGAAACACAATGTCCCCCTGGTGGCAGAACGTCACAGAGCACGTGAGGTTGTGAAGTTCTGGGTTGGTGCCATCGACGGGGCCCAGGGCACCTCCTGCATCTCGAATATCCCGCTCACTGCCCACGTCGTGGGAGCCGACCGTGACCTCTCTGATGCCCTGATTGTTGGAGTAGATGAACCCGAAGCTGTCTCCGACGTTGACACAGCACACCGCATGTTGGTCTGAGTTGTCCACAGGGCACACCATGCACAGGCACAGAGTGGTCAGGCCGCCCTCCTTGGCCATGATGGCTCGGTGTGCTTCATCTAAGGCCTTTCTTAGGAGCCGAACAACATCCTGTGTGTGACATAAACAAATCAAACAATCAGTACACAGTTACAATCTATACAGACACACACAAAACCTGCATGTGTGAAACAAACAATGAAGTATAAATATGGAACACATGTGGGTTCCAGGGCTCCACTGTAGGAAAAACAAAAACAGACCTACTGCCCAAAAAAGCATGTCATAATCAAAGAGTCGACTAACCACAGACTTATTTGAAGTTGGAGTGCATCTGCCTGAGAGGCAAGAAACCAAGAGCCTGCATTTAAATAGGTTAGACTGGTAAAACAGATGTGCATGCAACATTCGTGTTCTAGATGAAGACTAAAGTCCAGAGGTGGACAAACAGCCAGAACTTTCAGCCACAGTTTACAGCCAGTGAATGAGGAGGAGGAGGAGAACAACAACACATGACTGTCAAAGCGAAAGGCCCGTGGTTTAACAACCTAACCACAGAGACCACTTTCTAGACAAGATAAGAATCCTTAAATCAGCGACTATAACAACAATTCCCTGTGTGGGTGCTCAGGCCTCATTCTGGATTAACACAGAACAGACCCTGTCGTAAATGACGACTAATTAACCTTTCCAGTCTGCGGGGGAGGGGGGGGGGAGGCTTCTAGGTAGGAATCTGTGATGATATGATGTGTTCCTTAGGACTGAAAGAGTTAACACTTCTATGTGCGGGACTGAGCCTTGGGAGGCAGCGGGTAAGAAGTATTGGTGTTGTGGGTAGTGGTTTTCCCCCCCCTCACTTCACCCTAGGTCTAGTGAATATCTATTCACGAAAGGAGCGCCCACTGCGGTGTCAGCATCTTGACCTAGCATAACCTCTCTTACCCCAAGACCATTGTGCATGGCGAAGAGCCACACCCTCCCCGAGGTAGTCCTGGTAACTGGGGGTGCTAATCCCCAGGCAAAACACAATGGATCTAGAGGAGCAAACCTTGATAAAAAACCCGGTGCACGACACCGCACTGCCCCCTGTGGGAGGGAAGGAGACGGAGGGGTGCTGAACAGTCTTAGAAGTGGAAACAAGTATGCTAACCCCGTGAATACCGGAAACTATCGTGAAGGCACAGGGACGATCCAGTTGTCCCAACTAATCATGCTTAGACCATGCTTAGAGCCAAGAAGAGCTCAGCGAAACCTGCAGGCAATCTGTGAGCCCCACCTTAGCTACGTGTCAAAGGGAAAGGCAGAAACACAATCCATATTTCCATAAGAGCTGACACAGTGCACTTCTGGCTGCTGTCTGGGGAGGGAGGTAATCCACAGAATCCCCAGCACCACAATGCCATGTGAAGATATGTGTTCCTTGGGACTGAAAGAGTCAACACTTTCATGTGCGGGTTGTGGGACCCCATTTTGGAGGAGCAGAGAAGAGACCCACTGTGGTATCAGTGAGATGACAAAAGAAGTTAGGACCTTTTTGTGCCAGTGACCCATCAAGCATATGGTGTTAGACATGTTTACAGACCCACCGGCCCTTGATGGATATTGCCCTCTTCATGTCAGCCAGTCTGACTTCTCATGACATTTCCTGGTACCTATTTTAGCCAACCTGAGAGCTCCAATGTTAAATTATCCGTTACTGTTATCACGTGATCCATTTAAAGTTACCATAGTAATCACAGGATTTGGAATTTCCGGCGGATGTACAGTACAGCAACTCAACAATGTGGTTTATGCATTTCAGCGAGAAAAAGATTTATTTTATGCTTTATTATATATTGTTTTAACTCAGAGTAATGCACCTGACAAGATACAGCAAAATATGACAGGCAATGAATTGTGCAATGTATTGTTTGCGTCCGCATTATTTCAATATATTATATAACGATTATGTTATTATGTAGTGAGAACAGCAATAGTAAATCTTCTTCTTCTTCTTCGCGTTCACTGGCTGTGAACTCCGGCGGAAAGTTCAGGTTGTTCATCCACTTCTGGACTGCAGTCCTGTTCCAGAACCTGAGTTGTGCGTGTGCATCCGTTTGACAGATCTATATGCAGACTGTTGGTTCTTTGCCTCACAGGCAGATGCACTCCGACTTGGAAGGAAGCTCCCAATTAGTCGACTCTTGCGACATGCTTTTGGGTATGCAATGGGTCTATTCTTGTTTTTCCCATAGTAGGGCCCCGGAACCCACACAGGGGCAATGGTAAATGATTTCACAAAACATGAAAGATTAAAATGATTTGGTCATCTAGAGTCAGAACGGAACAAAATCAGCCAGCACCTAGAGTGTACTATATGAGAACAGCAGGCTACAAGGCAAGAGACCGACCAAGAAAGAGATGGTGGGAGCATGACTGGCTCCAGCTGACCGGCTGTGCTACTGACGTCACCAGGTCGGGCTAACGCGATTCTCAAACAAGAAAAAACTATTTTCGGCGGCGGCGAGGGAAGACAACTTAAATATTACCTTTCAAGTATCTATATACCTTCTTTAATAATTTCACAATTTTTAACTGACTTTTCTTGATCATTGCTGCGGCACCCCTGGCATACACTTACGACACCCCAGGGTGCCTCCGCACCCCAAATGACGTCACAGGACAGTCCAACATTTTCGAGGGTGGTGAGACTGGGTTTCCTGGCTTTCTGATGCTTTTAACGACCACAAAATATCTAGAACTGGCCCTAACCCCAACCCACCTACGTCCCAGGAGATAGTGCAGCCTAGGTCTCACGACTGCATGCAGCCTAGGTCCCACGACTGCATGCAGCCTATCTACCACCCCCTGAAATATTAGACTGTCCCGTGACCTGTGGATTTTCCCTATTTGGGGTAGGATATTAAGAAAGCACAGCATCTTCTTCTTCTTCACTTTCTCTGTTACCGCCTTAGGGTCAAGGGAGACATAAAATTATGCATTTCGCTCTTCTGTGCATCTCGATCACATATTTTGCTGTTGTATAGTCTCTCTGGTGTTATCTTTCCATATTGTTCTTGGTTTACCTTGCATTCTACGTCCTCATTTTTTTTGGCGCATTCCTTATCTGGGAAGGCGTCACAAGGTATTTTGTCCCAGTAGGCAAACCCTTTTATCTGCTGTTTTTGTATATAATTTAGACCTGGTTCGGTACCAACTTTTTCTCTTCCGTCCTCATTTCTGATTTTCATTCTTCTAGTCACTCCTGCAGCTCATCTCTGACATCTCATTGCCAACACAGCTTCATCTAATCCTAGGGGACTGAACTGCCTACAGTTTCCCCTTATCCTCGAGTGATGGCCCCTGGCATATCCCTGGACATTAATTTTCCCGGCCCTACTTGCCTCGCCAGACAATTGTCTTGACATCGACCTGGCTGCCACGAGATACGAAGATAAGTGATATTGTGTATTTGTGTAGTATTGTCTAATCTATGTATGTGCTGAAGAAGGCTCCATAGCTGCAACGTTCACATTTTGTTTGTGTTTATTATATTGTGACGCTCTCTGATATACTTTTTGTTTGGTTTTATATCTTCTTATTTCCAAGGCAAGCATCAAAAGAGTTAAAAGTAAAGTAAGTAATAATGGACCCGTTTTACGGCGGTGCACATTGGTATATGATACTACACTTATATTTTTGTACAACAAACGGCACTCGGTGTCTGATATGGTCAGCATCATGCCAGCCACCTTTACTTCCCAGGACACGGCCTAGTACACATTTAGACTAGGTTGACTTGGAAGTCACCATGAGTGGGTTCTGGGGCCCCATGAGTGGGTTCTGGGGCCCCACTGCGGGGAAAACGAAAAACAGACTCATGGCACTGGGTAGGCAACCCAAAATCATGTCATATTTTTTTTTATTTTTAAGTATCCAGAAACCATGAGTTGTAAACCCTTTGGCTCAGTACTATGGATATCGCAACCCTTCGGCCTTGATTCCATTATAGACACTGTAAATATGGGAGAAATGTGACTTTTCTGCCTACCCCCGACAACAAGGAGTTCGTCACCTGGTCGCCACTCAGAGGGTTTTAACCAACTGCGCCAGCGAGCCTGGCAAATCATGTCATGCAAATCATGTCATGTAAGTCAACCAATTGAAAGCTTCCTTCGAAAGTGGAGTGCATCTGCCTGAGAGGTGAGGAACCAACATTCTGCATGCAAATTAGTCAGATTTGTAAAACGGATGTGCATGCAACACTCAGGTTCTGGAACAGGGTTGGGGTCCAAAAGTGGAGGAAAAACCAGAACTTTCTGCTGGAGTTTACAGTAGATACTTTAGTCAAATTTTTTTAAATGCCCTCTACACCAATAAAACCAGCACAGTTAGATAGCTGTAAACAATCTTTTTCCAACGGTACCTCATTTAGGCTTGTATGTCATTTCTGAGCCGAGATATGTAGGTTTTTGTGGAGATGAGATGTAAAAAACAGCTGCTAAAACTTGCGTCCCAGAAACAAGAAGTTTTCTCTGCGCAACCAAACTGCGCACTTTCGTTTTGGCTTTGTTTACATTGGTCCAATGATTGGACAAGATGGCAGACAATTTTTCTCAGACACAGCCACATAATAGCGATTGCCTGAAAAATGTCACTGTAAATCGAATTAGCCATAAATAAGAAAGAAATTTTATATACAAATGTAAAATTGGACGGAGAATTCAATTATAACTAGCATTACCATGTCTAGTAATGTTTAAGGCCTAAAGCCAACCTTGAATACTTACCGCTATTTTCAATCAAACTGATGTAACAGAAAAATAGAGGACGTCCGGCTGTCGTAGACATGCGCTGTTAATCGGGTTCGTTTCCGCCGTTTTCAGCTATTTATAGCTGGTGAAAATCACACCAATTGCAAAATTTGATGAGAGATTAGGACCCATCCCGAAACCCCAGCCAACATTTCCCAAACAAGTTTCAAACGGTTTCCATGGTAATGGAAATTGCCAAAAAGACCGCAAATTTCCGAACACCGTAGTCGCTAGTTTACAGCCGGTGAACGTGAAAAAGAAGGCCTGGAATTCGAGGTAAATTATCAAATAATCTGTCCTGCTGTAGATTTGGGTTGTCAGGCAATCCAAGCAAACAACAACAAACAAACGAACAGTTCAAGCTCAAGAAAAACGCCCACACTGACGAACACACTAAAAACCAAACTGAATTAACCTGTGTATTTTCTGGCTTATGTTTTCTTTCAAAGATTTTGTAGTTGAGATATTTCATGCTTCCATAGAGTGCACACCGTGCTGCCAGGCGCGACTTCTCTCCCCAGTTAACCCCATCCGCTACCATTAAAATGGTATTGTTCCTCTGGCACATAAGGCAAAGCTGTCTGCGATTGGTTCTCCTGAGGAGCAAAAGGAAAGGCAAACCATTACAAAAACTGACGGACAACTTTTCATAGTGTTTCTTCTTTGCGTTCGTTGGTTTAATGACAGACAACTACTAGAAATCCTCTTGGATCAATTTCCAGCAAACAGTAAATTTGGTATAAATGCCATAGTACAGTTTCCCAAACTTTTCTTAGTCGCTGCGCCTTTTTTTTTTATAATTAAAATGTTTCTTCGGCACCCTAACCTAAGTAAAAGTGTGACTATTCGTAAGTGAAAAATAAAAAAAATTGTGTGTCTTCGAATATATCGCTGATGTTGTCTGGCCTTGGCCTTTTTTCTAGAAGTTTTGAAATGCATTCTTTTCATCATGTGACTCAACCTTGTCGTACTAGTAAATACCTTGTTGTCATGCCCTATCAAAGCAAAAGCAATCATACTTGTTTTCAAGAAGGACAGCTGTCAATTTAACTACTGTAGTTGCGCAGAAAAAGATGATGAAATCTGATGCAATCGAGATATTTTTAGAAAATTTCACGTGAGAACGTACATAGTAAACAAGTTTGGACGTACTAGAATATTCTAGAAGCAGAAAAAAGTGTGAAGAAAACAAATAACTAGCATTCCAGCATCCAAGTATAAATACTGGGTAAGAACCCACTCAGAAGAATTCTTCAGTCCACAAGACTCAAGAGAGGAGAGACCAGCCACATGGACTCTTAAAGCAGTCTTCAGTTGTAGAGATGTCAGCTCAACTCAATCATGCCTCAATGATCCTCGCAGTTGTGGAGATGCCAACTCAACGCTAGAAGCAGAGGAGCCAGCCACCTGGAGCCTCAAGGACAGAGCAGACATGAAACAAGATATCGAGCCACAGAGACGACACACAAGATATATGGATCCATGGTTAACAGCGACACATTAGGTAGGAACACTGTTGAGATGTTAGAGTCAACGATCAAGCCGTTAGTACCAGTTAGCACTAGAAGCCTGGTGGCAGTTACAGACACTAGAACCAAAGCAACTAGAGAACACAACGCGACATTTAGTGTATGCAACCATAGGGAGAAAAAACACAACGCGAACCTCAAGAAAATTTAGCCATAGAGAGAACACAGCGCTATTTAGAATATCATTGCTGATATTTTGTGACATTGCTGAAGTATCACAATAAAGACAGTACAGACGAGAACAGTTGTTTCCAGACATTTTGTTGTTCAAGCATCAGAGTCACGTGAGAAGCATGTAGCAAGCGAGACATCATCATCATCATAACCACTATCAACACGACCATCTTTCTCCTCCTCTATAATCTTCCAAACGACTCTTCCTGTAGCAAACCTAAAGACGAACCTGGGTGTGACATCAACATACACAACAAAGAAGAGAGCTGTGCTACAAGAAGATCCTCACATTATGAGTTAATAAAGTAACATAAAATTTACTGATCAGCACTTATAGAAAGAGATATAAAGATGGAAGAAGCACACTAGACAACATGAAAATCGAAAGCTATAGTTACCGTGCCGGGAATCGAACCTGTCACCTCCAGACGGCGTGTGCGCCTCGCTATGGAAACAAGTGTACTAAGAACAGGTCAACCCGGCACCCCCAAAAAAAAGGTGTCTTATTGGCCATGTCTATTGTACAGCTTGAAATCCACGTCTTTGGAATACGGATGAGTGAGTGAGTGAGTGATGCCTTTTCTTTCCACTAACAAAAAACACTTTCGTGTCCATGGTTCTGTGACAACATAAGACTTCAAAGTGGCCTGAACAAATATGATAGGATCTCACTGTGGGTTATGGGGTTGTTTCTGGGGGGTGCGGGGGAAGGGTGGGGGGGGGGGGAAGCAACTGACCCACTGGTCCTCAACAAGCATGCTGTAAAAAACAATCTTCTTCTTCTTCTTATTTCGTTCGCTTGAAATAGATTATCTTTATCTGCAATGTTGTCTCTAGTATGAACTTCACTGTCTTTTTACAAAAGTGACAAAAGACAATCAATCAATGACTTGCTGAAATCAGATATGTTTGATCGAAAGGCAAGGATATTAGAGCCTTAACAGTAAACCATAACCGAATACGCCAACCACTTTTTGAAGGTGGAAGAAGAAGGAATCTTGATATACCAACCAACTGCTGTCTGTACTTACCACTTTTGTGGTGTAAACTGGGGGAGTCTTTGAGCCAGAGGGGTTTGAGGCTGCATGGCTAGTGATGTTGCCACAAACTGTGCAGGTTAGAATTGTGTTTTAATGGGCAACACTGTGTTTTTATAACACCCTTACACAAAAATAGCCGTTTTACTTCAAAATAAGCGGCACCCGTGGCTTAGGCGTTGCGATTTTGACTCGTAATTCCAACATACCGCAATCAAAACCCACTGCTGGCTGCATGGATTTTTATCATGGTATGGGGCATCGCAGGTGGACCCAGCCTGAAATGGGTAGCAGGATGGCTGTCCTGGGGAAGTAAAGACAGCCGGCGTAATGCTGACCACATTACCCACCCAGTGCCGATTGGTCTGTAAAAATATGGGAGGCTCTTCCCATTTACCCTATGCGCCTAGGGTGTGAAAAGGGATCTTTACTTTTTTTTTACTTTACTTACTTAAAAATAAAGAAAATGTTATCTCAGAAGTCTAGAACATACCAGAAATTTTTCCACTAATGGGATGCTGCTCGTACAAAGATATGCAAATGCCATAAGCCTGCTGCTCTCGTAGATTCCAGTCTCTCACGCCAGCCACATAATTTGCGTAGTAATCTTTACAAGATGAAAAAAACAGAACATAATTAGAGACTCCTATTTATGATTACAGTGTGTGATCAGGTCATGTGAGGGGAAGACAGGCATTAGGAAACACTGAGATGACTGGACAGATCAACAGCAGAAGATAGAGGCAGACCAAGAGACAGATCAACAGCAGAAGATAGAGGCAGACCAAGAGACAGATCAACAGCAGAAGATAGAGGCAGGCAGACCAAGAGACAGATCAACAGCAGAAGATAGAGGCAGACCAAGAGACAGATCAACAGCAGAAGATAGAGGCAGACCAAGAGACAGATCAACAGCAGAAGATAGAGACAGACCAAGAGACAGATCAACAGCAGAAGACAGAGACAGACCAAGAGACAGATCAACAGCAGAAGATAGAGACAGACCAAGAGACAGACCAACAGCAGAAGACAGAGACAGACCAAGAGACAGATCAACAGCAGAAGATAGAGGCAGACCAAGAGAGATGATGCTTGACAGCCTAAAGCGACAGCATGGTGAAATATTATCATGGAGCTGAGTGGTTTTGAGGTATGGCATCTGCCTCGAGTGCTGGAGGTCCTGGTTCAAACCCCAGTGAAGGCTGGGATTTTTTCATGTGGGCTTCTTGTAATTTCCCCTAGTCTCTTGGTAGTAAGACCGGATGCCTGTGTGTATTGTTGTGCATGTAAAAATATCTAGGCTGTTGGAAATTGAAAAAGAGTAGCCTAACGGCGCTGCATGGGCCAAATTTAGATTTGAAAATAAGGATCTTCGCCAGTGCAACGGAGTTCGTGCACTGCGCTGAGATTCTTCAGACTCAGGCTTGAGTTATAAGTAGAATGGAGTGCTTATGGGTTACACAAGGAGGAAAAGGGGAGGAGGAAAAGAAGAGGAAGAAGAAGAATGAGGAGGAGGAGGAGGAGAAGAAGAAGAAGAAGAAGAGGGAGGAGAGAAGACAACAAAAAATAAGAGTGGACTCTGTAGCCACACTTTGTACTGTAATAAATCTATATCAGTCCACACATACTGGATGTGTACTATCTTGTTTCAAGTGCTTCTGGTGGACAAACAAGGGATGTCAAGTAAATATTAATCACTAATGGATTAAATTAAAATGTTTTGGAAATGTCTATACTTTAAAATAATTTTCGACAGAAAATAAACATGAATAACTCAAAATTTACACCCGGATCCTTGGTGCGTCTCATTTCTAAATTCTGTGCGTCTCATTTGTAATGTATCTGTATCTCATTTATCATTTATGTGTCTCATTTGTAATTTATATGTGTCTCATTTATTTTTTTTGTTCTGTGTCTCATTTATAATTTCTTTGTGTCTTTTTTAAAATTTCTAGTGTGGGCCTTACTCATATTTTCCTTGACTCTTTCCTTTCTTACTCCTTTGGGTGTTTCAATTATTAACTTTACTTTCAAACCCCTTGCGTTTTATCTTAGTTTTTTTTTTATTTTGTCATAATTTTTCTGTGTTACTATATGGTTTAAGTTTAGACGACGGATCAACATCATGGCACAAGGGTAGTAGCCCATAAGTGCTCCGTTCTACTTCTGCCTCAGTCTGAAGAAACTCAGCACAGTGCACGATCTCCGCAGCACCGGCGAGGATCCTGACATGTTAATATACAATAAGTGATAGTTTTTATGTGTGAATACAATCAATCAAAGTTTTTCTACACTAAGATTATGTCATCATTTTTCTATGTTAATACATAAGTGGTTATAGTTTTTCTGCATGAATAAATTCTGTCACAGTTTTTTTACATTAAGACATGGCACAGTTTTTCTTTGTAGATATTCGGTCATAGTTTTATGTGTGAATAAATTCTGTCATTGTTTTCAGGTGAAAATGATTTTTTCATAGTTTTTTCTTCATTACTATATTTCGTCACAGCCGGTCTTCGAACTAATACACTCTGCAATCATCTTCCAATGTGAAAACATTCTGTCATGGTTTTTTCAACAGGCAGACATTCTGTTACAGTTTTTCTAATAATTCACAATATCATTGGGTTTTTTTTTTACATTAATGGCTCAGGAGCTCTCTGCTAAGCCTGTCAAGAGCCACACACAATGCACGAACTCTGCCACTCAAGTGACGACCATATCCCTAATAATTGCCTGTGCGAACTAAGCTGAATTTATTTGTATTCTGTGCTGTCTCACAGTGAAGACTGGCTACAGTACCCACTTCTGTCTTTTTGAATATTATGTGCTGAGGCCCCAGTCTCTTCCACAACTAAATGACGCAACCTCAATGACCTTCACAGTGAAGAACTCCCCATGTGGTTTCTAGGGCCTCACTGTGGGGAAAACAAGAAAAGACCCAATGCCTTTCCAAAAGCATGTTGTAAGAGTCAACTAATTGGGAGTTTCCTTGTCGTCGGAGTGCATCTGCCTGGGAGAAGCAAGTGACCAATCTGCACACAAATTAGTAAGATCTGTAAAACAGATGTGCATGCAACATTCAGGTTCTGGAAGATGACTAGAGTCCAGAAGTGGACGAACAACCAGAACATCTTTTTAACTTAACTCACCAGATCCCTTCTCCGTGTATTTTTTTGGTCTGCCTTTATGTCTATGCCCCCTGTGGGTTCCAGTGCAAAGACATTCTAGTTATATTGTTCTCAGGTTTTCTTATTGTGTTCTGCACAGGTACCAGTTAACACATGCTATAGGGTCACCATTCACAGCAGTAGTGACCCCACTCTGTTTTCCCTCAACTAAAATGAGGCTCGGAAACCCCCATGGGAAGCTTAAAATTCTGCTGGCTAGTACTTACTATTCTCAGAATGACCTTCAGCAAATGCTAGCCCGGCATCAGGGCCTGTGTAACTGGCCACGATCTCATCATCAAGAGGTGACAACTGGACATAAGGAACTGCATCAGGGTTGTCTCCATAGAAAATCTCTGGGCCAAACTTGATTTTTTTCACTTTTCTGTAAAATAATATGGTTGGGACATATTGAAAGAATGTCAGATGACAGAGAAGTAAAAACTGTGTACACAAGGGAGATGAATGGTCGTAGGCCACGAGGCAGACCAAGAAGAAGATAGAGAGATAATGTCCAGACAGACATGCAAAGACTTGGTGTCACCAACTGGAATAAGAAGACCAACCAGAGAAATGAATGAAGGCGGGGGATATCTGCAGCAATGAACCTCAAGGGCTTAGAATGCTGAAGAAGAAAGAAACAATTATTTGACTTCATTCATGTTGCTGTTCTTCTTCTTCTTTGCATTCACAGCTGTAAACTCTGCAGAAAGTTCTTGTTATTTGTCCATTTCTGGACTTCTGTCAGATTTCAGGACTTGATACTATGTTGTCATGGTCTCTTCTTCTTCTTCTTCTCTGCGTTCACCAGCTGTAAACTCTGGTGGAAAGTTCTGGTTGTTCATCCACTTCTGGACTGCAGTCCTGTTCCAGAACCTGGGTGTTGCGTGTGCATCTGACACATTTGTGTGCAGACTGTTGGTTCCTTGCCTCTTCGGCAGATGCACACCGACTTCAAAGGAAGCTCCCAATGAGTTGGCTCTTACGACATGCTTTTGGGTAGGCTGTGGGTCTATTTTTGTATTCCGTATAGCAGGGCCCCGGAACCCATACTGGGGTCTTAGTATCAAATTTGCAAAACATACTCCGGAGGGCGGAGTCAGGTTTTCTTTGTATGGGATTTTTCACATCAATCCAGCGGTCGCAGTTGGTAAGAGTCACATGGATGTTTTTCCCAGGCTATGTAGGTATCTTGTGGAATGAGCAGCGCAGATAGATTGGCTGCGCTGGTCCCTAATGCAGCTGTACTGCAACTGCACAAGGCAGAGGTGATCTCTCGCCTGTCGGATGAGGTAGCAAGCAAAATCAAAGATAATGAAAACCCGTACCTTGAAGGAATGATGCAGCGGGAAGTGTCTGCGGGCTCTAGGCACCACTCGAGACTCAGGGGAAGGCAAGACGTGTAGTCTTCTTCTTCTTCTTTACCTTCACCGGCTGTAAAGTTCTGGTTGTTCATCCCCCTCTGGACTCTAGACTTGTTCCAGAACCTGAGTGTTCACATCTGTTTTACAGACCTGATTTACTGTAAGCAGACTGTTGGTTCCTTGCCTCTCAGACAGATGCACTGCGACTTAGAAGGAAACCCCCCAGTTAGTCGACTCTTATGACATGCTTGTTGAAGAGGCAGTGGGTCTGTCGATTTCCCCATAATTGGACCCCCAGAACCCACCCGGGGGAAAGACATGCAGTAAACCAAACGACAATGGGTACCACAGTATGGAGACTCTTCAATGGCTATTAAGGAGGGAAACGTGTTCTTTATTAATATCTTACCCCAAACAGGGAACATATTGGACTGTCATATGACGTCATCTGGGGTAGGATATTAATAAAGCACCGGAAAACAAACGCAGCCTGGCTTGCCTGTTAAATCTTGACACAGATAAACCCAGGGACTTGCACATCCATTTGACAGATCTGGCTTATTTGCGTTTACCACTTCTCAGGTGGTAAGATAAACAACAACTAAGGCAATTAATCATCGTCTTTATCAATTGTCTTTGTGCCTAGTGGCACATGAGGCTTCAAAGAGGACTTTCCATGCTTTCCTGTCCTGTGCAATCTTCAGTGCAGTTTTTTATGTCAGAAATGTCGCACTCAGGTCACTTTCCATCGTTCATCTGCATGTTGTTTATGGGTGCCACTTTTTTCTCTTTCTCTCTATTATCCATGCGAGAGCTGTTTTGGCAGGTATATCAGGATTCATTCTCATTATGTGGCCAAAGACATTTCCATCTTTTCTTGGTTATCATACTAAGGCAATTAATAATAAACTACAAATATTCATTATCTGGTGCCTGTGCAGAATAGAGGGAATTAAATGGCATGACAGAACCACTAATGTATAGCTTTTGGAGAAAACTAAACAAGTTCTAGTGGACCAAGAGATGAAGAAAAGTTGCTGACGTCGGATAGGACACACAGTGTGAAAACCTGAAAACAATATAACTAGAATGTTTTAGCACTGGAACCCACAGAAATAAGGAATACCAAAAAACACATCGAGAAGGCCGCTGGAGAGTGAAGTTGAATAGATAGGGATGACATAGGGTGAACTGCATGCGATAGCAAAGCAGAGCGATTTGGCGTGACCTGGTTTAGGACCTATGCTCCATTGGGGGTCAGAAAGACAGAAGAAGGAGACTTCTCAAGCAGATGCACTCCAGCCATCCTGTCTATGTTCGTCAGACCCCCGGTAGGGAATTTATTCCTAAGGATGATGGTGAAGCGGTGTAAGCAGATCTAAATCAGCATAAGCCTTGGTACTGTTGAAAAAGTATCACAGAATAAGGGGAAAAGATCCCCCCCCCCCCCCCCCCAAAAAAAAAAAATAACACCCAGCAGAATGTAATATTAAATAAATTACTCACATTTCTCTTTCCTGTTGGATATCCATGCTCCCTTATATCTGGTCCATGTAAACGCACAAAAGTGACCTAACAGTCACTTCACAAACAGGTCAGCCACATAAACAGTCCATGTTTTAGGATTGCTTGCTGTTCTTATCTATTAACACAATTAAGAAAAAACCCATTAAAACTGAAGAGCTTTTTTAACGCCAGTAGCACATATGACAGAATATGATGTTAGACCCATATGACATGAACAGGCAGACAGATTGGCTGGATCTGCACCACTGATACATGACAAGGGAGATTCTGGTCTGGGCCCTTTGGAAACAAATAGTGGAGTCAGACGCAAAACAAGATTATTATGGTCTGGAGAGATAAGACACCTGGATATAACCAGGGGGTCTGGCCAGCTCGCTACACTCAGGGGGAAAGGCAAGAAAGGCACATGATATAAGTGATTCCTTGGGTATGAAAACATGAGGCGGAAAAGTCGGTGAGAGATATAATTTCTTTCATGTAGATCGTGATGACAGTGACTTTCAGCAAAGGACCTGCTACATAATGATGACATGTGCATAACTAATTGTAAACCTCAGCAAGACATGTCGACTGTCCTTGTAACTCTTTCAAGATTGGCTCTGCAAAACCTGGTGGAATACTGATGGATGTAAGGCAGGCGTGGTTAGGAGAAATACTGACATCTTGAAAGATATGAACATCAAGGAAGATTGACTTATCTTCTTCTTCTTTGCGTTCACCAGCTGTACATTCTGGCGTAAAGTTCTGGTTGTTCGTCCACTTCTGGACTGCAGTCCTGTTCCAGAACCTGAGTGTTGCATGTGCATCAGTTTTACAGATCTGATTCTCTTGAATGCAGACTGCTGGTTCCTTGCCTCTCAGGCAGATGCACTCCGACTTCAAAGGAAGCTCCCCAGTTAGTCGACTCTTACGACATGCTTTTGGGGAGGCAGTGGGTCTATTCTTGTTTTCCCCACAATGGGGCCCCGGAACCCACACAGGGGAGATTGACTTATAAATAGCAGTCTGTCTCGGAAGCTGAAATATTTTGGTCATATCAAGAGCCACGACGGATTGGAAAAAAGATTATAGCAGAAGACATGGTACCAGAAAATAGGGCCATGGGCCGACCGACACGAAGATTGGCACAGGATGTAAGTGAGTACATGAGACGGAAGAGCTGGCGGGAGGCTGAGTTTCTTTTAGGCATGATGAGAGCGACGTTCTACAAAGGACCTGCTACATGATGATGATGATGATAAGTTAAGGCCCTGTGGACAAATGTGCACAATTTGGAGGAGAAAATGGTTCACCACAGTCTCATGAGAGTGATGCAGCAGGGAGTGATTAGGAGACCTTTTCTATACTCGATGCACAGAGGGAAGAGAAGATGCATGTATAAGCAGAATGCTACTGGCACCATTGGTATTAGAACTTGATGCTGATGCTGAAGATGGGGACACAGCACTTATGGGAATGCCCAAGTGCTGTGATGTCGGTTCTTGAATCAACTCATCTCAACTCAGGACGGTATTGTGTGTTCTGGGGTTTGAACAGAATTAATTTTGAGGTGAATTTGTTTACTGCAACACGACAAAGCTAAAACCTTCCTGAAGAAAAAGTATTCCCTGTATCATTATCATTTTGCCTTGCTGACTGGTGTAGGGGATCGTGCCTCTCCACAATCCGCTATTTGCAAATGCATGTATCAGTTTGTGTGTTAACATTCCTCAATGCCATGACAAAATACTGTGAAGAATCTTCTCACACTGTTTTCCTCTGTCTCTCTTTCCACAGATCTTTCCAGTGGTCAAAACATGTTCTATTTTCTCTTTTCTCATAACGACCAAAAATGACGACTTTCTCTTTCTGATGTTTGAGATAAGTGGTTTTTGAGCATTTGCCTCTTTCAAAACACCTGGGAAGCTCTTCTTAGCTGTCCAAGGAATTCTAAGGATTCTTCTGTAAAATCACATCTCTGTGGTCTCAAGATATTGTTAGGCTTGTTTGTTAACTGTCCAGGCTTCACAGCCGTATGTTAAAACCAGCTCAAAGTAGCTGTATAGTGATATATAATATATCAAAATAAAGAGAAAAGAATATAGAATGCATCTAAGCTATTTAAGGATGTCTGCATTAGGGAGTCCAGCCTTGAGTGGGCACCGGTTTCAGTTCCCTTAAGTAAGGGAGGCTGCATAATGCTGACCAAGTCACCCATCTTGTGCCGATTGGTCTATAAAAATATAGGTCTAACCCTATATGCCCTATACGCCTAAAGGTGTGGAAAAGGGACCTTTACTTTTTTTTACCCTTTTTTTGTTTGCATTAGAGGGTAGAAGGGAAACAATGTGAAAGTTTAACTTCCAGGCAGCTTACAATGTAGGGATAAGAATTAATACATGTGTTGCGTTGTGAAGAAAATACTATTTTTGTTGCCAACTCTGTGCTATAAATGTCAAACATGGATCCTTACTACAACATAGCTAAATGGGTTCTCCTTGCAATAACGGTCTCT